CCCAGGGCTTAGTCTTCTGACCCCTTCTTTTTTATCTACACTCATTCCATAGGTAATCTCATCTGTGCTTTCTGTATGCAGATGATTTCCAAATTTATATTTCTAGCCCTGATCTTTCCCCTAAATTGTAGGCTCTTATAATCCAGTATGTCCAACATATTGAATAGGATTAGGCAAACTAACTATATTCAGAACAAAACTAATTTTCCTCTGGTCAACTCACTCTAGCTCCAGTTCATCGTATCTCAGTAAATGGTCTCATCATTCTAAGAATTACCTTCATTTCTTTTTTCATCCACACTCTTAATCCATCAGCAACTCAAGTTGGTCCTATCAAAATATGTCCCAAATCTGACCTGCCGTTAGGCTCCACTGCCAGCAGTTTGGTTAACCTGACATCTTTCCCAGACCAGAAGTCTTCCATTGGCTCTTCTCCTTCCACTCTTGAGCCCCTGCAGTCTGCTGCTCCCAGTACCAAGTGGGATAGTTTCCAAACACACGGTCATACTCTTGCTGAAAACTCTCCCCATGACCTGGGTTGCCCTGCATGGTCAGGCCACCATCCACTTCTCTGACCCTCTCTCCTATTAGTTCCCTCCCTGCCCATTTTGCTCCATTCTCATTGTATTTATTGTCAGTACTCAGCCAAACCAAGTCTGACCTGCATTTTGGATTTTTCTCTTGCAGTTTCATCTGTCTTAAAATTTTCTTTCCTGGAGTTTTTGCTTTGTTCCTTTCCTCCCTCAGTTCAGCCATGTCCCTTCATTACCATCTTCTCCAGTGGTCTTCTCCAGTCATCCTACCCACAGAGAGACTGCCTGAGTCTCTGTCAACTCCTCCACCCCACTTTGTTATTCTTTACAGTACCATTCTCTGTCCATTTGTTTGTCTCCTCAAATCAAAATATAAGTGTTCTTAACAGTCTCATTAAAATAAGCCATATTTGTTTGTCATTGATTTTGAATTTTGTACTTGAGATCAGTATAAATTCACCATCCATCATATTATGTTGTGGTGATGAGGGAATAAAAGCAAAGGTCTAGAGATGTTTTGTTTTTCTTTTGCTGTGGCATGAAATTCTAATGGAAAGATACATCTAAGATAGGGAATTATTGGGAAGTCATATGCTCTTTTTTTCCTCCTAAGCTTATAAATATTAACTTTTAGCAAGTAGTATGCTTCCCAGTTGTTTTCAGCAGGATACCAGTTAACTGAAGAGATGATAAGGACAGGGGGGAAAAGATTTATAAAGCTCCAGTGTTTGTTTGAGAGACTTCGAATTTCCAGTTTTTTTTCCAGGTGTCTGAAAGAGCTGAATAGCAGCTGAAGCAACAGAAAATGGAAGGGAAAACAAAGCAGTTAGAGCTACGCTATTAAGAGGAGATTGTAAACCCATACCCAAAAATGTTTGCCACCACTACTCTGGATATAGTACTGCCAATATGAAGTCACAGAATACAAATCTTTGATTCACTTTGAAATGAAAGCCACAAATACAGAACTAAGCCCTAGTTTCTGAGGGGCAAAAAGAGTTGAATATTTTCCTGAAATTCTTCTTACTTCAATAAAGGATAATAAGGTCATGCCTAATAAAACAGAAACTGTTGAAATTCAGTAATTTGCCAAGAACATCAGTTTGATGTACTTGTTTCAGAGAGAGGAATTCACCATTGAAGAGAAAGGTCTCAAGCATTCCCCCTCACAGACACAATCTTACGTACCATGCCCAGGAAGGACCCAATTGGAAGCTTAGTACTGTGATGGCCCAATTTATCTTACCCTCACACGGTATCAGTGTCACCTCATTGCATCTGAAAGTGTTGAGTCCCTGTTTACTAAGGATTGTTTTAATAAACCATTTCGTTTCTGGGGAGGCATGGTCAAAGGAGTGCAGTGAGCCTCGCAGCTGTCCGAACCCAAAAGCAGTATGCCCGTCATCTTATGGGTGCCGATTGAAGGGCCACTCCTGACACAAGCAAGAGAAAAGCACTTGAGATGCTTAAATAAAAATCTGTTAGCCCTGGCCAGTTTGGCTCAGCAGTTGGAGCGTCAGCCTGCAGACCAGAGAGTCCCGGGTTCGGTTCCCGCTAGGGGCATGTACCAAAAAAACCCTATTAAACTTGTCCTTATACATATCTTTGCTTACTTTTTTAATTACAGATTCATTCTGAATACATAAATCCAGATGATTATGGTTACTTAGCAACAATCATAGGTTGAATGCTAGGTACACATCATGAGTTTGTGCTATATACTTTTTCAAAAGGAGAAAAGTTTCTCCTGTATATAACATCCATGCATTCTAAGATAGTACATCCAGATTGTTTTCAGTGGAACCCCTGATTGTTCTAGGGGGCTTCTAAAAGACTTTGGATTGTTAACCAGCACACAGAAGTCATGAAACATATTAGTAAAACAAACACCCATGAAGCCACCTCCTATGTATCTCATCCTGCCTGATACCACCTTCCAAATAAAACTCCAGGTACAACTGTCCTCAGTTTTGATTGCATGTTTTCCTTGCCTTGGAAATAGGATAGCCTCTAGATGTAACTCATCTAGAGTTCTAGATTTGAACTCTGCGTGGTTTTTTTGCTTTTATTACAAGTGTTTACTAATTTATATTCATCTGAAATATTGGATGGTATGGTTGTTAATGTGGTTGTTAAAATGTGATATATTAAGATTTATTATAAAGTTGTAGTAATTAACCCAGCCTTATATTTCTGTAAGGATAGGTGAATTGTCTATGGGAACAGATTCATGCTTATTTGGAAACTTTATTTATAATAGAGGTAACGTTGCAGGGGACATATTCTATGGCTCAGGCAGTGTCTCAAGATCTGCTAGCATAAACACACAGAGGTCTATGTGGAAGGATGTCGACAGCGTTAACGATTACAGCAAAAGATTGGGAGCAATCCCAAAGTCTAGTAATAGAATAATTTGTAAATAAATAATTAAATATGTATTATATATCTTAAATTATAAATAGATAATGAAAAATTATGCAAACATTTAAAAGAAGAACACGGGGCAAAGTGGTCCTCTTACACATTGGGACTGATAAACTAGTACCCACACTCTGGAAAACAGTTTGCTAATATCTATCACAATTTAAAATATGCAAATCTTATGACCTAGAAATTCCACGTATCAGTATCTGTCCAAGAGAAACCTTTAAACATCTTCTGAAGGGACTGGACTCAGGTTGTAAATTTCTTTGGTGCTTTTAAAACAAGACAAAATTGCAATAAACACGTCTGTCAGTGGGAATATAGCTAAATAAATCATGGAATACAATCAAGCCATTGCTTAAAAATGAGATAGGGAAAATTTCCAGTAATGACAGTAGACCTAAATGATTGTGTGATCCTTCCATAGTTATGATCATAAGACCTGAACCAAGAGTTTTAAAAATCCAGCCTTTAAATGCTGAAAAGCATTCAGAAGTGCACAGCATGGGATGGAAGTGGGTGGTGTTGGTACAGTCTTCTCTATTATTTGAGTTTGGGCCAAGTGCAAAATAATTTAAAAACTGCAAATATTTAGATTTCAGTCTGTTTTACATATATTAAAATAAAACTTTTTAAAATTCAACTTTAATCTCTACATATAATTTAGATTAGTTTCAGCAAGTTTTACTTTAAGGATTAAAAGTGCACATCATTTTCTAGTAGATCACCTTGCTCTCTTACGCTTAAATATGCATTGATTGATTGAATCTCAGGAAATATTTTATGAGTGTCTAACATGTGCCATACCCTCTTCTAGGTGTGGGAGTGCGTTCGTCAGCAAGACAGGCAAGGTTGGGGTTTATAGCAGTGAACTGTCTAGTTGAATGGAGGTTTATAGCAAGAACGTATACATTCCCCAAATGGTATCATTTGAGAGGAGAAGAAAAAACAAAAATGAAGAAAAGGGATAAGCAGAAATCGTATTTCTGTACATATGTTAAAATCCCAAAATATAAAATTCAAGGGAATCTTAGTATTGTTCAATCTTTTACATGAGCATTTTGCTCAATATAGTACATTCTTTTTCATTAATTCTTAGGATACTTTGAAATATTAATCTTCCAGTTTTCCATTTTGAATATCAGTGGGTTATGGAAGTGTAATTTTACACAGAATTCTTGTTTGGATTTTTCTTTTTTTTTTATTTAATGTTGATGGGAATTTGTGCGAAGAGCATGTCAACTTTTATATAAATATCACAGGTATATGTTATGAAATGGAATTTACTTGGCTTCCTTCATTGTTTTGTAACTCTAGGCACTGTGTTGTCACTGGTTATTTTATACTATGGGCACATTTTTAGGGGAGAAGAGTTAAAAACTTTTATTGATGTATTTGATAATCCTCAAAGTTCTTTATTATAGATGACTCATTTTTAAACCTCTTGTTTACTCTAAATTTGTTATTGAACCATTTTTCAAATCCTAATAAAAAATCTCTAACTCAGCAGGAAGACCAAGTCAAATAAGTTTCAACGATCTCACGTATTTCTCAAAGTACAGCTTTTCCAAGAACTTTCTCTAATTCCAGAGACTTGTTTATCTCCTCCCTTGTTCTTTGCCCACTGAACCCTGTGTGTGATGTGATTACACTGTCTTCCTGTGCTGTACATTCCTTATTGTTTGCGTCTGTTTTATTTATATGGTCTTTGTGAAAGTAAAAGGATGTTTGATCTGTATATTCATTAAGAACTAACATTTTACACTATCTTATATATTTTTAAATCACTCTGATGAAATATATGGTATTTCTCCAATAACTGAACAGTAACATCAGTTGTAATAATTATAATCTCATCTTAGATAATAGTCCAGAAATAGTGACTACAATGTCTCTGAGTTTATTTAAGGCACTCTTTGATTTTCTAAATCATCATCTGAAAAGGATTTTCAAGTGAACTTTAGTGACATAATATTCTTTATCCCTTAACTAAGTGTATTTTTTTGTTCTATTTCTCTCTCTCTCTTAAAAAAAAATCAACAGCTTGATCAAGTCATCCGCCAAAGAAGCCTGTCCAGTTTGGAACTGTTCCTCTCCTGTGCTCAGAAACAGTTAAGTGCTTTGATAGCTACAGAACCAGTCGACATTGAATAAAGAGAACCCGACAGGCTACCCCACACTGGCAATGGATAAATCATTAGACCTCTAAAATACACGCTGCGAATTGTAAAGAGGCTTTTGTTTTCTTTCAAACCTTGGATAATCGATTTCCACTTCAAGGATAAAACAAGACAATATTTAAAACGAGTCTAATTTATTTATTTTTTTTTCTCCTTTATGTGCGCTATTATTTTAGTAGGAGGAGCAGCAGCAGCAGAAAGTATGGTGACTCAAAAGACACTAAAAGTTGTCACATTACAGAAGTTAATTAGGTAAACTTTATAGCTTCTGGTGGCCTGTTATATTGTATTTGGCAGAGGTACTAAATATCTTTACCTGTTGCTTGATGATGACTCTTGATGAGATTCTAGAATGTCACCGTGCATTTATTTGACTTTGAGGATAAAAACGGCATGGATTTCATCATCTCCTTCTCATATTACCACACTTCCTTTTTATATTGGGATCTGTTTTCATTGGTAACAATTGAAAACACTAAAAATTATTAATTCAACTTTGATCTGATGTACCACTTAAAGGAGTATGTGTGGGATATATGCTTATTTCCTATTTCTACAGAGTCACAATGAATAAAGTCCATTTTCAAATGAAACCTACCATGAACTTAATCTCTAGAAAGGGAATGTAACTTAACCATTTCTTTGAAGTCAGGTTCACATAAGAGATGCAAAATTCTTTCCCAGAATTTCAGAGTGTACTCAGTTCATGAGCAGTGTGCTTCAGGCAAAACCGGGAGGGTGTACCCAGTTCATGAGCAGTGTGCTTCAGTGCAAAATCAGGAGGATGTACTCAGTTCATGAGCAGTGTGCTTCAGTGCAAAACCGGGAGGATGTACTCAGTTCATGAGCAGTGTGCTTCAGTGCAAAAGCGGGAGGATGTACTCAGTTCATGAGCAGTGTGCTTCAGTGCAAAACCGGGAGGATGTACCCAGTTCATGAGCAGTGTGCTTCAGTGCAAAAGCGGGAGGATGTACTCAGTTCATGAGCAGTGTGCTTCAGTGCAAAACTGGGAGGATGTACTCAGTTCATGAGCAGTGTGCTTCAGTGCAAAACTGGGAGGATGTACTCAGTTCATGAGCAGTGTGTTTCAGTGCAAAAGCGGGAGGATGTACTCAGTTCATGAGCAGTGTGCTTCAGTGCAAAACCAGGAGGGTTTTTTTTAACATCAAAAGTGAATGTTGTCATTAAAATTATGCAAACATTTTGTCTTGTTTTTGAAATGCGTCTACTTTCATGGGCTTTATACTTTTCTGGGATTTATCAGTCTAATAAAAAGCTTCAAAAACTTATTTATTTTCCAATCCTTTCTTTTTTTAAGTTAATTCTTTAAAAATTTTTTCTTACTCAAACTTATGTACTTATGGTTGATTTTTTAATATATACCTAAATATTTACAATAATATTTACTAAGAGTCTTTAAATGGGAATAACTAGTTTTCTCTTGCAAATTTAAATGAGAAATTAAGGTAAGCAGGCCACTGACCTGAAATGCAACATAGAAAAAGGGAGGGCCAACAACACAGTATTGTGGTCATGTTTTAAATCACTTGACTCTGTCATCAAATTTAAAATGATAGGCTATTTTACAACTTAACTCATGATTTATATGAAAATGAAGCAGTGACTAGTCACAAACTAGGATCTAGGAGACTAAGATCCAGAAATAGTGGAAACATCAGGAGAATATAATAGCCTACCTCTGTCTCATCCCTGTCACCACAGAAAGAGTTTTCCTTCTAACACTTAGGAGTCCACCTTCACTGTTGACATAGACTAACTGTTGCCTGAAGTAACTGAAACAAATTAATACCAATCAGTCTATGAGTATTTGCAGAACACCCACTGTGCCTAGTAATAAACCCTTGGATGGCTATGGTGCTTTTTCCCCACAGAGCTGCCCTTAAAGATAACTGAGAATCATCATCTGGGCTTAGAGTTGTTTGAATACATTAATCATTCCAAGCTGAATCAGGTCATGTTTTCACGGTGTTCAAGTTATGGATTTCCACATCCAGAACTGAATTCTGTTTTAGCTCTGGTTATCGCACGGACCCTGACCACCTCAGGTGGTATTTGCAGAGGATTCGATGATTAAGTATCTGCAGTGACCAGAGGTAAGAGTCTTCTCCTGAAATGTGAGCCCAGAGTCTCCAAGAGAAGAAGTCAGATGTTTTGTATCTAAGACTTTTTTTTTGCCTATTGTATGATTTCCCTAACCCTTTTTATGTAGCAGTTCCTACCATTGTGTTTAGGTGAGAAAGGCCCCATCTTGACGGGCTCAGAGTAAGAGGGCCATTCAGTTTTGGAGTGGTAAAGGCGCTGTCAAATTGTGACTCATTTTTAGTAGCATACTTCAGGATTCATTAATAGAAAAGTTCTTTCTCTCACCAAAAAATGAGTATCTGCTTTGTGCCAAGTATTTTCACATGTTGTCTCAAGAACCCTGTGAAGTGAAAAATAACCAAATAACCTTGAGATGTAGATGATATATCGGCATTTTTGAGTGGAGAGGATTAGATGTTTACTTGCCCGTAATGACTGGGTGGAGTTGGGATTCAACCTCAGAGCTTTCAACGTTCAGTTTTACTCTTTCTAGTACTCTGCAGATACCTAATTTCTCTCCATGATAAAATATCTGGAAGTTTCTATCTTCTGTAGTCTTATCACATTCATCTTTTAAGAAGACCATCCCCCCACCCCTTATAAACCTAGTTGGAATTCTAGGTCTGCCACATTCTAATTGTGGAATGTTGAACGAGTTATCTAACCATTTTGAATCTCAGTTTTCTGATTTGTGAGGTGGAAATAGTGATTTTTATAGGCTTTTTGTGCAAATTAAGTCTGTAAAATGCCCTATAGTAGACATCGCTGGTATGGCCCCAGTACACAGTAATTCCCCTTTCTCTGGAAACTGCCCACAAAATACAGGTGTGGTTGCCCACAAACAACTGGCTAAACAATATAATTCTGCCCATCTGACCTTGATTTACTAATCCACAGATGCAGATCTGATCCCCTCGGGGCCTCCTGTCATATGGGAAGATACTTCACTGCTTTCCCTAGGGAGACAGACAGGAACTCCACTTCTGAGGTCAGAAGTCTCCTGATCCCTGTCTTTCCTGAGTCTTGGATTCTATGAGATGACCAAATATTCTTCTAATATGCCAGCACCACTTACTTTTTTCCCTTAAGTTAGCCAGAGCCAGTTTCAATTACATGAAACCAAAAAAATATTAACTTAGGCAACCCTAAACAGAGCCCAGTACATAATCCCTGGATACTCAGCACTTGCAAGTTCTTCATTTCCTCCGCCATACTAATCCACATCCAAAATGGGAACACTGATTTATTTTAAGGAATGTTAAAAATATAACTGAACCAAAGCCCCTATTGTCTAACAAAGCCAAGTAAATCACAGATACCTAAAACTATGAACAAACAGTGCCCTATTTAGAAGTTCTCTGTCACTTAGAATCTGGAGTAGAGGTTTAAACTCGGCTTTGCTAAATGCTGACTCATGTTCCAATTCAAAGGAGTCTTGCTCAAGATTGCTTTGAAATCAAAACCAGAACAATGTCCCTGTGATTAGTGTTATTCTGCACTGAGTCAAGTATCTATAATTATAACTTTTTTTTATCTGACAGTTAAACTAAATGGAATCAGGAAATGCTATCTATGCTTTAAATAATAAAAAACAAAATAATTATTCATTCGCTGAATCACAAAGGTATTACATAATAAATTCTGAATTTCAAAGAAGCTATATGTAAGAACTGGGAAAACAAAACTCCAAGAGAAACGGGAAGAAGAGTTGGATCAAAGCACCTAGCCAAAGTCATCTTCTGTTTACATACCAGTTAAATACTCTGTTTCCAAAGACTCTACCAAGGAAGCAGAAAGCCAATGTGTTCTGAATCGACCTTCACTTGTAGGCATCACCACCAGCATCATAGAAAATGAGCAGAAACAATACGTGAGAACTTACAGCTGTGCCTGACTTCCAGAATTTTTTTCTAATCCAGCAAAACAAAAACTGGTCCCTTTATTGAACTGAAAACCAAACACATTTCATAAACCCGAGCTGCCATAGTGCAGGAACTGTGTGGGTATACATCATGGGTGTGCATAAATTTTTTTTTTATCCTAACCCAAGGACATTTTTTTTTGCATTTACAGACAGGGAGAAAGAGAGAGAGAGAGAAACATTGACGTGAAAGGGACACATCAAGTGGCTGCCACCCACACGACCCCAACCAGGGCCAGGGACAAATTGCAACCGAGGTATGTGCCCTTAGCAGGAACCAAACCTGGGACTTTCCAATCTGCAGTCCGATGCTCCAACTGCTGAGCCAAACCGGCCAGGGCCATCATGGGTGTATATAAACAGAAGGAAAAGAACTGGTGAAATGTGCTTGCTCTAGTTTGGGTCCCTCTTTCCCTGAAGCATCCGTTCTCAACAAGTTGGTCACCTCTATACTCCATCTCCCTTCACCCCAGGCATTATGTACTAGACTTTTTCTATGAAGTGCTTACAGAATTGAATGATATTTGGTATTGGTTGTCATTTATAATTAATGTGTGTTCTTATTTGTTTATATCTATCTCCTGAAGGAAGAGTCTACTTCTATTTTGTTTATTGTATCCTAAAGGGATTTTATTGTGCCTGGCCTATGATGTGGATTTAGTATATAATTGTGAGTTCATAAATAATTGAATTAATTAAGCATTGCACCTGTAATATAACTCAGCTAATCTCCAACTAATAGATTCTGACTAATTTAAAGGATTCGCTAAAACTGCTGTGTTTCTAACTGAGGTCCTGTAAGAACTCATTAAATAGTATTCTCATAAAATAACTCTCATAAAACATTAACCAGACTTCTATGAATCAACCAGGCATCTGAACACTAAAATGAATTCCACATTTCATAAGCTACTAGAATAACTAAATCGTAGCTACTAAATTGATAGAGATGTGCTACTCAAATTGTGACTCATTTTATTTTTTAATCCTCACCCAAGGACATTTTTCGATATTTTGTTCAGATAGAGTGGGAGGGAGGGAGAGAGAGAGAGAAACATCGATGTGAAAGGGACACATCAAGTGGCTGCCACCCACACGGCCCAACCAGGGCCGGGGACAAACTGCAACCGAGGTACGTGCCCTTAGCGGGAACCGAACCTGGGTCTCTGTGGACCGCAGGCCGACGCTCTAACCGCTGAGCCAAACCGGCCAGGGCGTGACTCATTTTTAGTAGCACACTTCAGGATTCATTAATAGAAAAGTTCTTTCTCTCACCAAAAAATGAGTATCTGCTTTGTGCCAAGTATTTTCACATCCTCTAAGAGTGAATGTATGGAAGAACATGAAATTATATATGAAATAATTTCTTAGGGTGCCAAGAGGTGCCTGGCCATATGAGTAAGAAACAGCATCCCCTCGAGTGGGCTGTAGGGTAGGTTACACTGGCCGGTCCCGGGTCATCAGGTTCAGTTACTACAAGGGGAAAGAAGAAAATGTGGGGAAGAGCTTGCATGCATAGCGTTTTGTGATCCAGAGTGGGAAATCCAGTGGGAGCTGGGACGAGGACAGGGGAGGTGCTTGGGAGTGGGTCAGCGCAGGGGATGTCCAGAGCAATGTGATGTGAGCAAAGAGTATCTACCTGATAGTCTCCCAATTGTGACATAAACTGGTCTTGTGTTTTTGAAATACACATAGAAATCAAGAAACAGACTAAATCAAAAGGTAGGAAAATTTGACTCAGTCCTGGCAAACATTCAGTTCTCAGAAGTCTGGGAGCTGATTTCAAAAGGAAAAACTGAAGCCACAGAATGTGCAAATCACTGACCAACACAGCTCTGATACTGAAACAGATGATAGGAAATTCCTTGTGGCAGGATGTATATGGGGCGGATTCTGAGCTCCTGCCCTTGGGTGCAGGCATTCTTTTCTGAAAGGGTTGCTAACCTCTGTGCACCGTGGAAAGCACTGCCTTTTGGAAACATGATTTTTCTGTAACATTCTTTATCTTTTTGTCTGCTATCCATAATTTCCAAAATGTAAATGTTTAATTTAAACTATAAATATTTTAAAGAGCCCTGGCCGAGTGTTCAGTTGGTTGGTGCATCATCCCATACACTGGAAGGTTGTGGGTTCGATTCCCAGTCAGGCCACATACCTAGGTTGTGGGTTCAATTCCAGGTCAGGGCATGTATGGGAGGCAACCG